CATAAGAAAAAGTCTTCATGGCCTTGGGTGTTCTTAAACAACAAAGCATGATTCATAAAATAAAAAACTGATAAACTGAACTTGATAAAAAATAAGTACTTTTATTCTGCTAACAATACTAAGAAAAGAAAAAGACAAGCCACAGACAAGGAGAAATGATATGCAAAATCATATACCTGATAAAGGATTTGTATCCAGATTACATAAAGAACTCAGAAAGTCTACAAGAACACAAAATACATGAATTTTAAAATGGGCAAAAAATCTGAACAGATCTCACCAAATAAAAAGATGTTCAACATTATTTTTCATTAGAGAAATGCAAATGAAAATGAGATACCACTACACCCCTGTTAGAATGTCCAAAATTCAAAATGTTGACAATACTAATCGCTGATGAGGATGTGTAGCAATAAGAACTCTCACTAATTGCTTGTGGGAATGCAAATGGCACAGCCACTTTGTTAGATAATTTGACAGTTTATTGTAAAGTTAAGCAGAGACTGGCCATATCAGCCGGCAGTCATATGCCTAGGTATTTACCCGAGTTGAAAACTTATGTATGCATAGAAACCTGTATGTAGTGTCTATAAATGTTTATAGCAGCCTTATTCATGTTTACCAAAAACTGGAAGCAACCAAGATGTTCTTCAATGAGTGAATGGATAAACAGTGGTAAATTCATACAATGGAATACTATTTAGTGCTAACAAGAAACAAGCTATCAAGTTATGAAAAGACAAGGAAGAACTTTAAATGCATATTGCTAAGTGAAAGAAGCCATTATGAGAAGGATATATACTGTACGACTCCAATTATATGGCATTCTAGAAAAAGGCAAAACTATAGAGATGGGCTAGGCATGGTGGCTCACATCTGTAATCCCAGCACTTTGGGAGGCTGAGACAGGAGGCTTGCTTAAGGCCAGGGATTTGAGACCAGTCTGAGCAACACAGTGAGACCCTATCTCTAGAAAAAATTTTTTAAAAAATTAGCCAGGCATGGTGGCACATGCCTGTAGTCCCAGCTACTCAGGAGGCTGAAGCAGGAGATCACTTGAGCCCAGGAGTTTGAGGTTGCAGTGAGCTAGGCTGACGCCACTGCACTCCAGCCCAGGAAACAGATTGAGACCCTGTCTCAATAAACTATAGAAATGGTAAACAGATTGATGGTTGCACTAATAGAAAATAGATTAGACTTGAGGGAGGGGGACTGGCTGACTACACCAAGGGGATATATAGAAGACCTTATATGGTGATAGAACGGTTCTGTATGGTACTTGGGTGGTAGACACATGATTTTATGCAATTGTCATAAAACCCACAGAACTGTATATAACAAAGAGTGAACTTTAATGTCTGCAAGCAAAAGAACAAAACAAAACATCAACTAGGTGGGTGAGGGAATCCCAGGATGGAATGCAGACTGTGACAAATGAATCTAACTCCATTATAAACGTGTGGCGTAATTGTACTGAATGATTGACGGAAGGGGGAAGGAACTGACCTAAGTAACTTTGGAAAATGGTATTTTGACTGAAACTGTAAGGTAAAGACAAAAGAAACAACATAAACGCTGGACTTTAGTTGCTAAAGTTGCTTCTCACGGGGGTATGGGCTAACGATTCTGATACTGCTACATGTGTACACCTGAATTGCACAAGAAAGTAAATGGATGACAGACAGGAGCCAGGTTTCTCACTGCCAGAGAGGAAAGTTACAGGTAAGCAAGAAATAAACCTTTTGGCACTGGATTACAGTTGGTGGCATAAGTATGAAGTCATGTTTAGGTTAATATACCTACTGATGGTTAAATAGAGAAATAATTATAGATATGTATGTATGTATTATGTCACATATGGAATGTTTATATCCTCTCCCCCAAATTCATATGCTGAAATCCCAACCTCCAATGTGATGGTCTTAGGAGGTGGGGCCTTTGGGAGGTCCTGAGGGTCATAATGGGATTAGGACCCTTATAAAAAGAGACACCAGAGTCTGCTCCCCTGTCTCCCTGCTCCCCACCATATGAGGACACACAAGACGACAGACAGCAAACCAGAATCAGAACCTTCACCAAACACTGGATCTACCAGCGACTTGATATTGGACTTCCCAGCTTTCAGAACCGTGAGAAATAAATGTCTGTTATTTAAGGCAGTTTGTTATAGCAGCCTGAACTAAGACACATGGGTTAATACATATACATATATTTATTAACTATTTCCTGCCTCTGCCTGCTTAGATGGTCTACAAGTAGTGGTATCCCACTAAGCAACAGATACACTCAGATCCTGGTTTCTATTACCATTCTCTTCCCCAGTAGAAGATAGTCACATACTGAATTGAACACCCGAGGAAATAAACACAACAGGCAACAGTATTTAGGAAGCGGCAGTGAATGAGACCAATGAATAAGACCAGTGAGTGAGTCTGAAAGGGCCAAGGAGAAAAGACTACTGAGGAGGAGAAGGTGATCGTCAAAGTTAAATGCTACAGAGGCCTTGCAGGACAGAGGGCTGTGACCATCAGGAAGTCACTGGGAACTGTGGTGGGAGTACAGGCATGCATGTATTAGGGTACAGATGATGGGGGTAGGCGGTGGCAACGAGGAGTTGAAATTTATTGGCCTCAAGTTTCTCAGTCAGTCGAAGTGCTAGGGAACAGAGGTGGCTGTTGGCAGAAATGGGGACAATCAGAGTCCAGGCTAGGCAGGAAGCAGGGAAGGGCAGAGGAGGAGGGCTTACACGCCACCTTAGGGAAAGGCAATAGGACCTGTTGATAAAAGACAGCCATTGTCACCTACAGACAAAATATGGAGCTCCTACAGGGTCAGTAAAACTGTTTTCTTGAGGAAAAAATCCATAACTGATAACGTATTATTTTAGAAATACAATCTAAATGTACAGCCAAGTCCATGTGCCTAAGACCCAAGCCTGGAAAACGCATTAATTAGCATTCCTTTTATGCGGAAGATCATAATTTACCGAAATGTGACGTTTTACCTTTGCTCATGGCATAAGCATATTTTTGTGTAAAGGATAGTGTCTGAGCATTCCACTGTGTGCTTATCATAACCATGTTTCAGTTCCACACTTGTCCTTTTTGCTGGGACCCCCTTTATCTTCTTTCCTGACGCCTATAATGACAGAGGGTATAACTTAAGCTAACAATTGATTATTCTTTACAAGAGAAGTTCAAATATGAGCCTAATTAAAGAATTTCCTAACACTTCTTCCTTGCTAAAGCATGTACATTTAATAAGGAAAAGCCTCTGATATGTCATTCAGACTCTCATTCACGTGTGTGCTTACATACAAAACTACTGCCCGCATCTCACCATCTGGAAATACCATTTGTCACCCAGAAGTAATTGGCTAATTTGCTGGGTTTGCCCTTTAAATGTTCCATGTTCTCCTGACACCTGTGAGTTTCATTTAGAGGCTTTTAGGGCTTTTTACTAGAGATGACACTATCAGGAAAGGTGTTTCGAAGGACAAATTTCACTATGGTTCCTTTAATCAGAAGGGAATGCTGTTCCCATGCCAAAGGCACACAATTCTTTTTTTTTTTTTTTTGAGACAGAGTCTTGCTCTGTTGCCCGGGCTAGAGTGCCGTGGCGTCAGCTTAGCTCACAGCAACCTCAAACTCCTGGGCTCAAGCGATCCTTCTGCCTCAGCCTCCCGAGTAGCTGGGACTACAGGCATGCGCCACCATGCCCAGCTATTTTTTTTTCTATATATTTTTAGTTGTCCAGCTAATTTTTTTCTATTTTTAGTAAAGACAGGGTCTCGCTCTTGCTCAGGCTGGTCTTGAACTCCTGACCTTGAGCCATCCTCCCGCCTCGGCCTCCCAGAGTGCTAGGATTACAGGCATGAGCCACCACGCCTGGCCAAGGCACACAATTCTTGCAAGAAAGGACTAAATGCTAGTACCACAGCCAGGACTGTGGGACTATGGGGAGTGTATCGGGGTTACAACCAGATACACTCATAACTCATAACCCTTAGAACTTCTTATAACAGCAACTTGCCACCAAACAACTTACCATCGCAACAGGTTACAACGAAAGAGTTACAACCACAACTTCCCACCATACATGTTGCTGTAACAACCATGAGTTACAATCACAACAGATTACAACCAAAAGTTACAACACTAACTTGTAAGTCTGATTAATATGCCCTCCATACAGTGTCAGATCTTGATATATACTCTGCAAAAAGGTTTAAATCTTTGGTAGTTTGAGAGGAGCTAAAAATATCTGGCCCTGGGGAGGACATGACTATTCAGGGGCAAACTGAGGGAGCCTCCCTGTGGCGATGGAACAGTTCTGCCTCCCAATCATGGTGATGGATATTCCAATCTACACGTGATAACATTTTACAGACCTACACATACACACACCTGAACACATGCAAAATCTGAGGAAATCTGAATAAAATCTGTACCCAATTTAACAGTATTGTACCAATGTCAACTTCCTGGCTTTGACAATGCAAGATTGTCTTTGGGGGAAGCTAAGTAAGGAGTACACAGGAACTATTTTTTTTAACGTCTTGTGAGTCTTAAATTATTTCAAAATAAAAAGGTATTTTAAAAGATATCTGACCTGGTTTGGGTCTCTTAAAAAATGCTTGTCATGATGAGTTTTGCTGCACCAATCCCAGGAGAGACAATGTGTCCCCTGGCCCTCAGTTATTATAATTGGAGCTACCTCAGCAGACAGGTTTCTGCTAGCATGGAAATGTTAACCCATGCAGTACCTTGGCTTAAGAAACATTAGGGGAAATGTGTCACTTTTCCAAGCGGGCTTATAAATCTCCCCTTAAGCAGCACAGCCCAAATCATTCCAAGTGAATCCAGCTTGCAAGCTGGGATGTCTAGGAACTACCTGTCATTTCCCAGAGGCTGGGTAAAAATGGCTCAATTAACCAGGTTGCTGCATAATCACCTTTGTATCAGAGTAAGGTGTGTGTTTGAACAAATCAACGCTCTTACCTTTATTCCTGTCAGGTTTATAATCACCACCCCCTACTATGTCTTCAAGATCCTTGTCTGAAAAACCTAGAGAAAATAAAATATACATTTCAATGATAAAAAAATTTTTTGGCAACAAGAAACTTGTGTTAATGTTGCCCAACATTCACAGAAAATGATTGCCAGGTTCACTTGAGAATGTCCTTGATGAATTCTAAGAGGGTCCCCAAGATCCCTTCCAACGGGTATACATGCTCTGGATAATGCTCCATCACTCTGACTGTGAGTGGGACCACGAATAGGATGGGTATCACTCCTGTGATTAGGTTATATTATATGCCAAAGGTGAGGGGATTTTGCAAATGTAATTAAGGCACCAAATCAGTTTGACGATGCATTAATCAAAAGGAAGATTACCCTGGGTGGGCATGACTTAATCAAGCGATCCCTTTAAAAACAGGTTTAGCCCTTGCCTGAGCTCACACATAAGTAGCAACAGGGTGCTTCTCTCCTTCTCTCCTCCCCACCCACCTCTCTGCCTCACTGCTGCTGGTCTTGAAGGAGCAAGCAGCCATGATTTCTACAGCTGCAAGGAAATGTACTCTGTCAACACCACATGAGCTTGGAAGAGAGCCCAACCTCAGATGAGACCCCAGCCCTGGTCAACACCTTGACTGCAGCTGTATGAGACCCTAAACAGGAAACTCAGCTCAGCTGTCCCTGAACTCCTGACCAAAGGAGATTGTGAGATAGCAAATGGGTGTTGTCTTAACTAGCTTTCTGGTAATTTGTTATGCAGCAATAGAAAACTAATATGAGGGGCAGAAAAATTATTAATTTTATTACAGCTTGACCTTTGAATACATGTCTTTTAGTATTCTGTGGGATGAAACAGAAAGCAATACTTAAAGCATTTCTGTTGCACTCCAAAGTACTATAGTTGACTCACAAAAGGACTGTGTGATCATTCCAGTTCTAAGATGTATTAGCTGCTCTGGGTCATGGAAGACCACTTTTATTAGCCAGAATGAATGATGAGCAAAGTATAGTTTTACCAACTTGAATATTTGGCAGATGTTTTCTTGAAAATGAATGAAATGAGCTCATCAATTCAAGGAAAACCACTGATGGCATCTGTTGCCAATGATAAGATTTCAAGTAAAAACTAGAATTTTGAAAATCTATATCCACCACTGTGAGTTTAACAGCTTCCCAATACTTACAGACTTCTTCTAATGAGATGGGTCATGATGTGAATACATGTGACTTTTGGTTGTGCATAATGAAATGTGGCTTACTCGGAAGCTCAAAAAAACCTCAGGATACCAATATTTTTCCGAGTGACTGGTGCACAACGTTACAAAACCATGAATGGGTAAAAAGACACATTGAAAGCGCTACAGAGTCCCGTGGAACCAAGTGCGGAAAGTTCACTGATAGAGTTGCACGTTCCACACTGTACTTAACCTGTAAGAAACAGCCACTGGTTGAGTTTTGCTGTCCTATCAAAGAACGTCCACAATCATCCAAAAAGTCTATTAAAATATTCCTCCCTTCCCCCACTGCATATGGGTGTGAGGCCAGATTTTCTTCATATACTTCAACCAAAACATCATCTCACAACCGAACAGAGAAGTGGACGTGAGAATCCACCTGTCGTCTATCCAGCCAGACATGAGAGAAATTTGCAAAAATCGAAAATAATGCCACTCTTCTCGCTAGATTTTGCTTTTGTCTTGCCAAGCACATTTATTTCTCATAAAAATATTTTATGTTAAGAGCGTGGGTTTAGTGTTGTTCATTTTAGATTAACAAATGTTGAAAGTTTTTCAGTTTTAAGTCCTAAGATGGTAAATATCAAGAGAAGTCATCTACGTAAACAAAAGCTCTTAAGATCCTCAATGATTTGGGGAGTCCAAAGACCAAAAAGTTTGAGAACCACTGTTTTCAGGTTCTCCTGTGGCTGGAAGTGCCCTGAGCTCTGCCAGGCCCATGGTGGCTCTGTGGGCTGTTGTAGTTAACGAGACAAGACCCAACCAGGGAGCTGCAGAGCTGCCCGGTGGTTTCAGCCAGCCAGGACTTACCTCTTCCTCCTGCACTCGGTTTCCTGTGGCCATCATCTCGATCATTTCGATCATCTAAGGCATCAGCCAAGTCAAAATCATCAACTTCGGGGGCCCCAAAACAAAAGACACAGTCACTTAGTTAATCTATGAGTAGCTCATTTGGATACTGTCCCAGAGGGAGCTCCATGGGGTCCTCCCTTACTGCCCTCTTCAGAGTAGCCATCTTACCTGCAGGATTTGCTGGAGCTCTGGGGGTTGCTGGCCTCTTGGTTGTGGTGGTGGTGATGTGGTCCCATCTCTCTAAAAGGGGGAAGGAGGACAGCAAAGGAAGCACATTTAGGAACAAAAAGCGACAGTTACTCATGGCCCAGGGAAGTCACATCATGAATAGAGTACCCTTGTCTTGGTCCTTGAGGCCCCTGTATGACCTCTGATGACCTACTTTCAGATGGATGACAGAGATGTAACGGTTTAAATGATGTGGGTTCGGTTCACTTTTCTTCAGGGGATGGGGATTGCCAGGCAGATGCAGTCCCACATGTGACCAGGTGAGTGGTAAAGCTGGGACTTGAGCCCAGATTTGTGGGAAATGACCACACAGACCAGGGAGTTCTAGAGCTTGAATGTGACCCTTGAGATCTCCAAGCCTCAGTTCCACCACTGTCAAATCTGGCACTTAAGCCACAGATAATACTGCCCAGGGATGAACTGAGGTTACGTTCTCAGTAGAGAATGGGAGTGTCTTATAAACGGAAAATGGTTACAACACATACACAATTTTATGTAAGTGTGGTTACTGTTGTAAATATTAGGTCTTTGGGAAAAACCAGACTCCTTTAAAAATATGGTCTTCTTTCACTCAATTTACACAGCATGGCCTTCACGAGTTTTCTAATTATTTCTTTTCTGAACTTGAGAAGACTGTGCTATTAACTGTTCCTACTATTGAAGTTAATAGAGGAAAAAGGCAGAAACAGTGCTATATACACCAAGCACCCAGAAGAGAAACAGCAATGTGTGGGGGAGAACCTCAATAACTTTTATAGATCAATAGTTTGATAGCCAAACTGTCCAAGGCCTATGCATTGCCTATGATTTTTGGAGAGGACCTCAGTGTTGTCCATGGATCAAAGAAATACAGGTCTGAATCTTCTGCAAAGAAAGTGTAAAAAATACAGTAAGTCATGACCCAACAGTTCCTTAGCAGAAGTAAAGAGGATATTACATAATGATAATAGGATCAATCTACCAGGAAGACATAACAATCCTAAATATGAATGCCCCTAACAACAGAGTCTCAAAGCACATGAGGTAAAAACCTGATAGAGCTGAAAAGAGAAATAAACAAATCCACATTTATAGTTGAAAACTTCAACACTCCACTCTCAGGAACTGGTAGAGCTACTAGATTGAAAGTCTGCAAGGATACAGAAGAACTGAACAACAAAATCAACCAATGAGATTTAATTGGCATAATAGGACACTCCACCCAATCACAGCAGAAAAAACAATTGTTTAACCATCAATGGAATATTCACCAAGGATCATATCCTGGACCAGGAAACAAACTTCAACAGTTTGAATCCATTATGGTCAAAGAGACTCCACTCTGAGTAATTCAAATTAGAAACGAGAAAGGAAAAAACAAGAAAATCTCTAAACACTTGGAAATTAAACAACATACTTCTAAATAAAACAAGGGTCAAAGAAAAAGTCTCAAAGGAAATTACTAAAAATACATAGAACTATTTGTAAATGAAAATACAACATATCAAAATAGGTGAGATACAGCTAAAGCAGTGTTCAGAGGGAAGTTTACAATATTAAATGCTTAAGTTAGAGATGAAGAAAGGTCTCAGGATCAATAATCCACATTCCCAACTCAACATACTAGAAAAAGCTAACCAGATACTAGAAAAATAAAACCAAAGTAAGCAGATAGAAATAATGGCAAGAACAAAAATGAATGAAATCAAAAATAGGAAAGCAATACAGAAAAATCAATGAAACAGAAATCTTGTTCTTCAAAAAGGTAAATAAAGTTGATAAACCTCTAGCCTTACTAACATCAAAGGAAAAAAGATGATACACCAATATAAGGAGTAAAACAGGGGATTATCATTACAGATCCTGCAGCCATTCAAAGAATGGAATGCTATGAGCAACCTTATGGTCATATATTTGACAACTTGGAAGAAATGGACCAATTTTTCAAAAACCACCAACTATCAAAACACAATCTAATCCCATCTTCATGGATTAGAACTAATCCTCGCTCAGGTGAGGCAAAGACATAAAATGTAACCAAAATGTTTGTACCCTCATAATATCCTGAAATAAAAATAAAAAATAAATGAAAAAAGACACTAATATTGTTGAAATCACAATACGTACTACCCAATGCAATCCCTACCAAAATCCCAATAACATTTTTTGCAGAAATAGACAAATCAATCCTAAAATTCATATGGAATCTCAAAGAACCTCAAATAGCCAAAACAATCTTGAAAAAGAACTTAGTTGGAGGATTCACACTTCCCTGATGTTAAAACTTATTACACAAAGCTACAGTTATCAAAACAATGTGGTACTGACATAAAAACAGACATACAGACCAACAGAATAGAAAACACAGTCCAGAAATAAACCCTTGCATATATGGTCAATAGATCATTAACAAGGACATCAAGGCCATTCAGTGGGGGAAAGGACAATCTTTTCAACAAATGATGCTGGGAAAATTGGATAGCCACATGAAAACGAATGAAGTTGGACCCTGACCTTATAACCTGAACAAAAATTAATTCAAAATAGATCAAAAACATAAGAGCTAAAACTATAAAACTCATAGAAGAAAATATAGGAGAAATGCTTCATGACACTGGATTTGGTAATGATTTCCTGGATATGACACCAAAAGCACAGGCAGCAAAAAATAAATTGGTCTTCACCAAAATTAAAAACTTTTGTGTATCAAAGAATACTATCAAGAGAGTGAAAAGACAAATCACAAGAATGGGAGGAAATATTTGCCAATAATATATCTAATAAAGAATATATGTATACTATATAAAGAACTACTACAACTCAACAACACAAAAACAACCAACCTGACTTTAAAATAGACAAAGGACTTGAATAGATGTATCTCGAAAGAAGATATACAAATGGACAATAAGCACATGAAGACACTCAGCATCACATCATTAGGGAAATGCAAACTGAAACAGCAATGAGATACCACTTCACACCCATTAGGATGGCTATTGTCAAAGAAAATGAAAAATAACAAATTAGTGAGGACATGAAAAAACTGGAACCCTGCTGCATGCTGCTGGGAATGCAAAATGGTACAGCTCCTGAGGAAAACGGCTTGGCAGTTCCTCAAAATGTGAAACACAGAACTAACTAGATCATCTGACAATTCCATTTCTGGGTACATATCCAAATGGATTGAAAGCAGAGACTCAAAGAGATACTTACACACCAATGCTCATAACAGCGTTATTCACAACAGCTAAAAGGAGAAAAACCACCCAAATGTCCTTCAGCATGTGAATGGATAAACAAAATACTGTACATACATATAATGAAATATTATTCAGCCTTAAAAGAATGACATTCTGATACAGGCTACAATATAGATAAACCTGGAAAATATTATACTAAGTGAAATAAGCCAGACACAAAAGGACAAATATTTATGATTTTTACTTATATGAGGTACCTAGAATGGCCAAATTCTTACAGGGAGAAAGTATAATAAAGGTTACCAGGAGTTGGGGGTAAAGAGGAATGGGGAGTGACTGTTTAATGGGCATAGAGCTTCTGTTTAGGATGATAAAAGAAATGTTCTAGAAATGGATAATGGTGATGGTTGCACAACGTATCTGTATGTTCCATGTCCATGGATTCAACCAACTGTGAACCAAAAATATTCAAAAAAAATACAATTATAAAAATATAATTTTTAAGGTACAGTATAACAACTATTTATACAGTATTTACAATGTATTAAGTATTATAAGTAATCTAGAGATAATTTAGAGTATACAGGTAGGGCCAGGCGCGGTGGCTCACACCTGTAATCCTCACACTCTGGGAGGCTGAGGTGGGAGGATCATTTGAGCTCAGGACTTTGAGACCAGCCTGAGCAAGAGTGAGACCCTGTCTCTACTAAAAATAGAAAAATTAGCTGGGTGTGGTGGCACATGCCTGTAATCCCAGCTACTCGGGAGTCTGAGGAGGGAGAATCACTTAAGCCCAGGAGTCTGAGGTTGCTGTGAGCAAGGCCGATGCCACAGCACTCTAGCCCAGGTGACAGAGCAAGACTCCATCTCTAAATAAATAAAGAAATAAATAAATAAAGTATACAGGAGGATATGCATGGGTTACATGCAAATACTACAACATCATATAAGGGCCTTGAGCATCTGAGGATTTGCTATGCATGGGGGTCCTGGATTCAATGTCCAAGATACCAAGGGACAACAGTATATTTAATGCCACTGAATTATACAATTAAAAACGGTTAAAATGGTAAATTTTGTTATGTACGCTTATCACAATTAAAAAAAACCCAACCTAGGTGAAATATATTAATAGAGCCTGAATATTCCTATATCCGTTAATGAAATTAAATTTTTAATTTGAAAGTTCCCAAAAGAGAAATCTCCAGGCCTTGATGGTTTCACTGGAGAATTCTACCAAACATTAAAAGAAAACCCACTACCAATTATACACAATCTCTTCCGGAAAGCAGAGAGGAGGGAATATGTCCCAATTCATTTTATGAGGCCAGTGTTATTTTGGTAGCAAACAAAGATAAAGACTGTATTTAAAAAAAAAAAAAAAAACCTTTAGACCAACATCTCTCATCAACTTACATGCAAAATCTTCAACAAAATATTAGCAAACTGAACAGAATCTGTAAAAAGAACTATACAGCATGGATAAATGGGATTTATTTCAGTTAGGCAACACTGGGTCAATACTTGAAAATCAGCGTAATACATCCTATCAACAGACCAAAGAGGAAAAATCACATAATCATATTAATTGACATGAAAAATTCCAACACCTATTTATTAAAAAAAAACAACCTTAAGCAAATTAGGAATAAAGGGGAACTACATCAACTTCATAAAGAACATCTTTTCTAGACCCCTATAGCCATCAACAGACTTAACAGTGAAAGACTGAATGTTCTTTCTCTAAGGCCAGGAACAAAGCCAAGGACATCGCTCCTATTTAGCACAGTACTAGAAGTTCTAGCATTGCAATAAGAAAAAAGTATATAC